TCCAATACCATCCATCATTCCATCCAATCTCATCCAGCCATCCATGTCCATCATGGAGTCCATCCATTTCCATCCATCCATCCATCCCATCCATTCCATCGCCATCTCCATCCTGGCCATGCCACCATCCATCCATTCATGCTATCTTATCCATTCATGACCATCCTCCCATGGCCATCACATGCCGAGCGCCATCACCATAGGAACCATCCATACCAATCATCCATGCGCATTCACATCCATTCCATCCATAGCCATCGCATCCATCCATTCATCCATCCATCATGCATCCATCACATACCATCCCATGGCCATCCCATGCCATTCCATCCAGTGCATGCCATCCATCGACCATGGCGCCATGCCATGCGCATCCAGCCATCCATCCATAACCGATCCATTCTACATCCATACCATACCATCCATCCCATACTTACCATCCCATATCATCTCATCGCTCCCCGCCACCCATCCATCCATGCTATCTATCCTATCGCATTCTATCCATCCTCATCCCTGCCATCTCTTGCCATTCATAACTACATCTGCCAATCCATGGCCATCCATCCATACCATCCATCATCCATGGATGACCAATGGCATCCCATCCATCGCATCCATACCATCCATCCATCCATTCCAGCCATCATCTATCCATCATGCCAGTCCGATCCATCTATGCCATCCATCCATCTATCATATTCTATCCCCAGTTCCATCCCATGGCCCCTCGAGCATCCATTCCATTCATAGACCATCCAATTCATTGCCATCGATGCAGGTCCATCTACCATCCAGCATGCCATGGCCATTCCCATCTCCATCCATCATCGCATCCATCCACCATTCTATCACATTACTAAATCCACCATCAACTCATCCATCATCCTTCCCAACAATCCTATACCAGTCCATAGCCATCCATGCCAGCATCCATTCCATCGCGATCCATGCCATCCATAATAAACCTCGCATCCAATACCATACCATCCTACCGATTCACAATCCATTTCCATGCCATTCCATAACATCCATGCATCCATCCATTCACATCCATCCATCGACTCATCATACTCCATTCGAGTCAATACCATTACGATCACATGCCATCCATTCATACCATCCCATCCACATCGACATCCATGTACCATCGGGCCATCACCAATCATCATCCATCCATAATCATTCCATAACCATCCATACGCATACGTCGTCCATTCTCATCCAATCTATGCTATCTATGCCATCCAACATAGCCATTTTCAACCATATCATAAATTCATCATTGTGCTTATTTACAGTTCATTAGCCCTCCCACCGTATTATGAAGCATCGTGTAACATCATTCACTATCAATCTCTAAAAACCTCTGAAATTTAATGGAAAACGCTTAAGGAGCGATGTCTCAGAACCGATTCAAAGACGCTGTTACCTGCTTCGTGCTAGCACAAGGAGAATTCCAGCTGGGAACAGAGCTACTTCAGCGTTCACCTGACAGTATGGCGGCTGACGTACATCACTATATGACGTCATAGCGTGGGGTTACTTTACATGATGGCTCATACAAACCTCCACGTACATGTTCGAGGTTCTCAAAAATACGATATGACATGTGGTGAGTGCGGGTTAATACAGAGAATCAATGGAGACGACACAGTAAATGTGTAACAATGCAGAGCTCACGGTCTTACGTATATACTGCTTACCTGTATAGTCCCCTATTAGATTTGTTATATCAATGCATATATTATTACATTATGTATAAACAGTAATATATCGTATTATATATATATATATCTATATAATATTATATATTATATCAATCGATCATCAGCTTCAAGTCTCATATTTTCTAGAGCATTATCGTATATGTGTTAGCATCGACGATACGACCTATAAAAGAGTACCACATTGTGCGTTAGTGGCAGACATGTATTCTAGCACGAAGAGTAATGAAACGTGACCGTTTACAGCACACGTGCTCGTCAACGCCGTTCTAAAAGTGTGCCTATAACGATGATCACCCTATAACACGATAATGACGCAAGATCGACGTTATGATGGCGGTAGCCAATAGCATTACTTGCTGGCTTAACTCGATTTTTCCCAAAATGGCGTGCTGTTCGAACTGCCCCTAATATCAGCGGAAACGGAGCACAGAACTCTCGAGGAGTAATGCGGCCGATTCATGATCACGGGTAAACTATCTGAACGACAAATCTGGGTTCGAGGATATGCGACGTTCAATAGGTGGAGTGACCGTCACAACCAGAAACCGGACACCTGTACGGGCGCGCACACACGCAACGCACAAAACGTCACAAAGCGCACACCTGCTCTCACCACACGCACCACACACACGAGCACATGTAACACAACGCACTAGAGGGACAAATACACAATCATCACACACACCACAGCACCAGGAACACACACACACACACAGGCACACACACCACACACAAACATAGCACACGGCATGAAGAGACCACACACCACACACACGCAACATGATCACAACACACACACCCCCACACACCGCACACCCGCGCACACACAGCACACACACAGACAACATCACTTTAGACACAACACAGACAACGAGATAACCCAGCACACACACAACACACACACCACCACTGGCACACACACACACACGAACACCACACGCACAACACACACACACACACAACACACACACACGAAGCCGGAAGCACTACACACACACACACACACACAAATACACACTCACACACACGCGCGCACGCACGCACACTTTCTCTCCCACACACACATACCTACGTACAAAAATCGATAGCGAGCTCAATATCTGCGATGGATTGGAACATGTTCCGCAATAAAAAAGGCACTCCAAAAAAGAAGGCGCACTAAAAACATGTCTAGCTGCATAAGTGTCAAACTACCAACTCAGCGTACCTACAGCTAGCGTACCTAGCGTAGTAGGTGGGTTGCGTACATGTACGCACGCAGTGTACAAACGGCGCTCGCCTGCAATACCAGCGTATGATAACGCAATACGAATTTAATTTATATACTAGCTATCATCTCATTGGCGCGTGAATAACATGTAAATTATTATTTTCGTATAGTTGCGTGTCTCCTCTTCCAGGTCTGTTCGGTACGGCCATCTTTCTGGTCATCGCCGGTTACATTGACTGTAAGAACGCCTGGCTCGCCGTACTGATGATGGTCATCGGAAATTTCTGCAATGGTTTCATATTCGGTGGCGTTGGAGTCGCCCATCTCGACCTGGCCCCGCGATTCGGATCCGTAGTCTTCAGTGTTATGAACACAGGAGCAACTCTGTCCGGCATAGTATCACCTTACGTGATCGGCATTATAACATCAGAGGTGTGATTTTCTTAAGTTCTCCGGCAGTTTCTCATGCACTGCGATGCATTATTGTGATTGCAAATGACGTGGTCTCAACCCGTACATTTAAAATTCAGTGTTACGCATAGTAATATAGCTCAAGGAACGCGGGCGAACATTAATTGGTTCGTTTAATTGCAGCAAACTCAACAGCAGTGGCAAACCGTGTTCTACATCAACTTTGCGATTCAGTCGTCCGGCGCCATTTTGTTTGGAATCTTCATCCATTCGGACATACTTCCGTGGGCAGCGGTAGACGTTGACGATACCGAAACGCTAGCAGAGGAATTACGAATATCCCACGAGTTACATAAGCACGCGCACGACAACCCACTTCATCATCTATCATTTCATCCCCACGGTCATCATGATTCTGAAAAGCCTGTTGCGATGACGAGGCTGTGATCACCTCCAACCAAACCCACGCGTATAGCTTGCCTATATCAAATAGCAACGCTTCATGAAATCAAGAGCGCATTAACCCCGCGCAAATCAAGAGCGCATTAAAGGGGTTAATGCGCTCTTGATGAAATGCTGCATGAAAACCACTGCTCTAAGCGTATACCCTACGCAGCGTTTAAGAAACCGTCGCTGTATTACATATGTTTTGTTATTGTACTCTAACGTACGCCTAGTAAGTAAACATACGTATGTAAATTCTTGTGTAAGTTGTCCGCTCGAGAGATAGTATAGCACAAACTCGTAACCTCGTATGGATCAGTCTTCAAAGTACAAAAGTCGAAGAGAGTCGAAGATTGCATCCGTTGAGCTGTTGCTTACCTAAGCTGCAGGGTCAAGCAAAGGCACAGAGCGACAAAAATATTTGGAATTGTTTCTAATTTGCGGCTTCAAGTGTGGCAAGACACTTCGTAAATGCCGATCACGAGCTTAGATAATGTTTGTGTCGCCACCGTGCCAAAAACGTTGATACGCGACGTAAACGAATCGGTTTCGCTGATAATTGTTTTCGATTTTTTAACATTTTTTATAACTATTGCCACTCTAATAACGAAAACGTAGACATTTTGTGTGTAAAATATATAATAAGTGGGTAATTCTTATATCCGCATAATTTATGCTGTTATTGTTATTTGTTGGACGTTTGCGCGTTTGAATGTAATAAATATGCAAACGAATTTTAACCTAACGTTAGTCGGTATAGCTGCCGTGTATCTCAGCCCTATGTCTACCTATGCCAATCTGACACGGCACGTATGCTATATATATATATCCAAGGACAAATATTTTCGTGGTGCATCTAAGATAAGCCCAGCACGACTCATCTTTCCTGGGACACTCGAGCATATGTCACATCGCTAGAGAGGACTGTGACCTGCACAGTATTGGCTATGAACCACAAACCCGTGTATAATAACAGTATGTTATTACGCACTGTATACTAAATTCCCCCCTCCCCCACCCACCCGTCTCAAGGAAAAATATTTACCTTCCGATTACACAGATAAATCAGTTGTGTGTTTCCTCAGAATCGGTGCGAGTGCGTGTAAATTTACTCCTAATATCACTGGCGTGTTCTTCAGTAGGAACCACCGTATAGCGAGTACGAATGGCCACCTGTTCAACTTATGTCAATGGGAACAGACCTGTGACCCAGGGATCTGTGAGAGTGATAATATTGTGTCTGGCGCGACAATATCACGCCGTGTTATGACATCCATTGACTCACAACAAGCGTAAGAATCGTGACAAGTCCGACTGGTGTGGTGACACTGAGGCGCACTGGCTAACCTTTGAAAGAGTGAAGATATCGACTTAAAGATGAAGAAGGGTAAGCAAGGAATGGAGTACGGTGAGCGATTAGGGTAGTCTGGATAACGGTAATAGCGCATGCATTTAGGCTCGTGGGCTGCACGTATCGTTGAGTCAATGATCAATTACGAAAAGATATTGGATATCGTAGGCTCAAGAGAAAAATGTGCTAAATTTTTTTATTCTTGTAACTTCGCGATGTTTCTGTCAGCAAGTCTACGAGTAGAAGTATGTAATTATAACCATAATGTAAAGTCTCAAATGTGTCCGACCACGACCCCCAAGGTTCTGGCATATCTTATTGTAGGGAGTTCTGAATTCTCACAGCGCACAGAACGTTTCGTTCGTGATTGCAGTTGCTTACTGGACGTCCTACCGCATGCGAATCGTCGCCGCCTCTTTCCTCATGTTTATGTCTCTATACATGATGCGCACGAACATCAGCGTCGCAATTGTCTGCATGGTAAACCACACAGCCCTAGAAGAGCAGGGATTGGAGGAGAACAGCTCTGACGTCATACTGGCGCCGGAATGCGGTAGAAACATCACCGTGGAGCAACAGGTACGTGTTACGCAAATTAAGTACTGTATGACATAGCACTTATGACAATATACGGTAATCAGGTATTTGATTGCAAAATACTTTGCTTTAAAAATATTAGATAGGTTAAAGTTTAAATGGGGATAAGGTCTAGATCGCTGTCACTGTCAATGTCGAATATCAAATTGGAGCAGTTATAAATCGTCACCAGGTGCCGCCACTAGGGGTTTTGAGGGGTACGGGGTAAGGATCTCTGCTACGTACCTATATAATTCCACCTATAACGGTAAAAAATATAGGCAAATTTAAAGTGTTTCATATCGATGCTGATTCGCCACTACAAGTTACAGACTGACTGCCACGCAGCCAACTTGCTTATAACTAGGAACAACAACTACTAACATCATCGATGAATTGTTTTGCGTTACAAATAACAGGACGGCGAATTTCTCTGGGACAAAACCACGCAGAGTCTCGTCCTGTCGTCGTTCTTCTGGGGCTACATTGTCACGCAGATCCCCGGCGGCATAATGGCCAAGCGACTCGGACCGAGGTGGACATTCGGTATCCTTCAGCTTGCGGCATGCGTGCTGACGCTACTGTCGCCAGCCGCCGCCATGATGAACGCCTGGCTATTCATAGGCGTGCGAATCGCGATCGGGTTGTGCGGAGTATGTTGCATTACGATTCCTTTATTTGCGTTTAAAGTTGGATTTATGTACGTTAAGGTGCGAGCAGAACCCCATGACCACGCGATGCAGGCTAGACTAGCGCGGATGCGTAGCATTTCTCTGTGCGCATCTAGTGCTATACCTACAGTAAATTGTTTTAAATGTGTTAGTATTATCACATAACGAAAGTCATTGATGAAGAATAATGATCATCAGCATCGTCATAATGAAACGACGACGGAAAAGAAAGCATGACGACAACAATGACAGGGCTGGTGATGATGATAGTACTAGTGATGACGACAACAATGACAGGGCTGGTGATGATGATAGTACTAGTGATGACGACAACAATGACAGGGCTGGTGATGATGATAGTACTAGTGATGACGACAATTGTGATGATAATTCTTGTACACTAACTTCAGGGCGTCGCGTTTGCATGCTACCAAGGCCTGCTAAGCACCTGGGCACCCCCTAACGAGCGCAGTAGGATGGTTTCCTATGGCGTCGCGGGCACACACATTGGCAACGTGATCACGCTGCCGCTAGGTGGCATACTGTGCGCCTACGTGAGCTGGGATTCGATATTCTATATACTCGGTATTATCTCTTCTTCGTTTACCAAACAGACGTTTTCTAAAAGAATTATTACTCGCAGAATGTCGCAGAATTGCAGCAAGAGAAGCGCAGATCCCTTCCTAGAATACAGATAAGACGTCACGTAAAATATACCACATGCATCCTAACTTACTTCCACACACGATACGCGTCTGATCATGAATTTTCGCATATATCCTGCAGGTGGCGTTGGCTGTATCTCGTGTCTGCTGTGGTTCATTACCGTCTATGATTCGCCGCAGGAGCATCCCCGCATCAGTGAGACGGAGCGAGCTTTCATTCAGCAGTCATTAGCTGGCCAAGTTCACAAGCGCGAGAAAATGGTAACGACGTTAGTTACGACGCGACCGCCGAAATAGCGCTGTTCTCTATATTCCTATCTAATTTTAAAGTGATTACGTCACCGTAAATAGTAAAAATAAAAATAAACATTTCTACTTTTTTACAAAATATAAGTAATTCTGTTCACTTTTTATGGTTAAATTACTGCATTATACTTCCTATTTTACTATATTGTTCGATGTGAACATACACTCGTGACTCATACATAGCCCATAGCAAGCAATTAATGTCAGGAACATAATATCAAATCGTCCAGGTTTTTTTGGATTTTTAACTTGTTGAGAAACAATCTTATCAGGTAAGAATTTGACGATACGTTTAGTCCCGTTAGTTCTTACTTTTAATGTAAAAACATGGCAACAAAAAATTTAAAAATTTTACCATAGAAAATTCGTGACGTAGTCAATTTAATGGAGTATCCCGATTATATGCAGAGGCTTGCGCGCGCCTGTCCGACTCTACTCCGACTGTGCTGAGACGTTTGTTTCTGTAGAGTATTACTCGTACTTTGAATTGTGTGTCCGACTTTATATACGTCCAGCCTTCAGCGTCCCTACAGTGTAATACCGTAATCTTGGTAGAGTGTCTGACCGTAGATATATACAAACACACTGTGTTTGTATATATCTATGATCTGACTTAATATACAACGATTTTCGGGCCTGCAGTGTAACATGCCCTTTCGTAGTGATTTCGTGTGCATTATTATGAGTAGGCATGCTGTCCGCTCTCGTATCCGAACGTTTTACGTACGGTAGTCCTCTCCTAAATAATTCCTGATCGACATTTGTTTTTATTCGTTTCTTCCCTCGGTCACTCTTTCCTTTTCCGTTCATTCCTCTATTATGTTTTCCTCACTTCTGATGTTATTTATTTCGATATTATATCGTGATCATCTGTGCATTTCTGATCGCAGCACACGACAATACCGTGGTTCGACATACTCACGTCTCCGCTTGTGTGGCTAATGGTATACACTAGCGCCACCTACACGTGGGGTCTGTACACGCTGATGACTAACTTACCTACGTTCATGTACGAGGTTCTCAAATACGACATGGCTGCGGTAGGCATCTGGAAACTACACGCGGTTAATGCGATAATTATATGGTTTTGATAGACTTTGGAGATCTGCGCTAAAGCAGCCGCATGTCGGTAGGACGCGCCTTAAGTTTTCTGGCATTTACGGGAGAACATTGGAATGGGAGAGCTCGTTGTAAAACGCTCACGCGCGAATTTTTGTCACCACGTTCCAAAGTTCTTCGCTGTTTATGGCAGAGCTTAAGAAAAATGGAGAGTTGTAAAACGTTAGCGTGCGAATTTTTGCCCCCGTTTCAAAGTCCCTCGCTATTTAGCAGACCTGCCGATAAATACACGTTTCTTTCCATCGTATCGATTCGCAATTTTTACACATGTAAGAGGCGTAGAGATTCGCTTTGCTCATACTCTCGTCGTATTTTTTTGCTCGTTTTGCAGAATGGTTTTCTGTCGGCATTGCCCTACGTGTCGGTGTTCGTAGCACAGTACATAGCTGGCACCCTGGCAGACGTCATGATTACACATGAGTACTTGTCGAGGACGTGGGTGAGAAAGACTTGGACGGCAATCGGTAGGACTGGAATCATTTTATGATAGATAATATTTTATCCGTTATATATTACTGTATGCTATAAACGTTGAACGAAATATATATATATATAATCGTTTATTGATTTATATATATCTGAAATTATATATATATTATATAGTCGTGTCCTACGCATGAACTGCGTCCGAAGTGGGCGTGCGTGTGTGATTTGCGAGTGTGTACTGTGCCGTGCGGTGTCGGTGATGCCTCCGGGGCGTCGCATCACTATATAATGACATGTTGCTTGTGCTGTCACGCACGGCTGAAGCTACGTACAGGCCCTGTGCTGACGTCACGCCGAGCTCTCCTCGCAGCAGCTCGTTTTCTTGTCCCGCGAGTCACGTGAGCGTGGCGAGAGCGGCTTGGCTGGCAGTGCTACTCGTCACCTGTCGGGCAAACGTCCAGCGGCTTCTTGCTACGGCGGCATCGGCGTCGCCACGCGACGTCGGCTCCGCGATTCTTCACGTATCTTGGTCGGCAATCTTCAACCACTGCGGCTTCCGCTTCCGGTATCGTCGCGCCGTACCATAATTTCGGCGTTCTGACGGCCAATCTGTGCGTGTGTTTTCTAAATTTATTAATATTTTTATTAATATTTTCATTTTACTTATAAGCTATTATGATGTTATTGTTTTGTTTTGTAATTATTACTTTTGATTATTATCAATAGTTATAATATATTATCATTATTATTATCAAATGATTAATTCATTGAAAGCTAGCATTGAATCGTTTCGATAACTCGTTTTGATTAAATGTCATTCAATAAGTCATATTAGCAGATAAATGAAATCTGGCGATTGTGCTCACATTCAGTTGTGGTTTAGTGAAAAATCTTAGCTAGCAAATTTGTCACGCGCATCGAACACATTTTCGTTGCTCTGCTCACCCGCAGCACTCTGGCCGCGGAAGTGCAGACAGTTTTCTACGTCAATTTCGCCATAACAGTGTCGGGCGCGCCATCTTGTGTTGGTGCGTTCTTCTCTCTCCGATTTATTACCGTGGGCCGCAGTGAAAAGCGGCGACGAACGACGATTGACATAAGCGCCGCGCGATGCGCCGACATGGTCGTCGGCGCCTTGTCATGCAAAGCAGTATTTTCCGCGAAAATGCTACGACATATTCTATCGCAAATTGGGAGAAAGCAAGACACTGAATCTGACACCAAGAGGCGCGACCGCCTGTGATAAACGTAGAGCCGTGCACGCGGTGCCATGCAGCAAAGAGTCGCAGGGATAATGACGCTACTATAATCCCAGCATTGGCGAGTAGCCGTCTATACTGCTATACTATCGCTTCGTTGCAATCTGCCACAAGCTCTCACACTGTGTGGCCCGAGACGAGAGGTTATAGTATTAGAGTGCCGCCTGCAAACAGGACCACCGTAGCGACCTCGCACCTACTCTGTTGCAAACCCGCTGTGTGCATGGCGGTTGATTCGGATGTGCATTGTATAACAGGCTACGTATGGTGATCCGCGCACGATACGCATGTTAATGTGTAAGCATCTTGATAATGGAGGCCGTTCATTCTGTTGCTGACTGGGCGAACGGGTGTTATAATCTGGTGCGCCGATTGTTTGAGGTTGAACACGCAATTTGCATGAATGAAATAAATGAATTGTTTGCTGTTTGGCATCGATGTAGAAAACGATAACTGTGCAGGATGCTTCAAGTATCTAAGTAAAGGATGACGTGAGAATTGCCAAGGCTGTTTTACTCTTAATTCTCTTCTCCAACTACACCACGCTACAACTAAGTTCGTTACCGACTATAAAACAGAGCTTAAATAATCGCGGATAATTAATCATGAAACCAAGAGAGCTGAGATTCGGTGATAATGTGAGATTATATTGATGGTGATAATGATTTGGTTATATGTTGATTGGTTGATATATGACTTATTACGATGATAATGATTGTCGACGATGAGTGTAAATGACGTGGAAAAAAATGTTTGCCAGAGAAGATAATTTTTCTACAGCTTGCTTTTTCAAAATTGGTATGGGCATGCCGCGAGAGTATGCCGCCATGGTAGCAATCACATCTAAAAGTTTCCGTTTGCAGCGGCATCTGCGCCACAATTATTCACTTATGCCCAATGTTCAGGGGAAAGGAGCTCTGACGTCCGCTGGTCGCTCGTTTGCCAGGCCAAGATTAATTTTCTTAGGATCCTATCTTACGCGCTCAAAGAATAGCAGGATATGCGGATGAGAGATGCGCAATCTAAACATTTCACTTTGGGCAGCATCCCGCAATAGTCTCTCTCCCATGCTATGTGTATAATCGGGAAAAGGCGCCTCGGGTCGGATGGTTGTGTCGTTGCCAGGCAGGAGATAATTTTTCTTAGGCCGGATCTCACGCGGGCAAATGGGCATGCCCGAATGGGCGAGGCCCCGAGAGACGTCGCATGGTAAAATTGTTTCAAAAAAAAGTTCTTTGCCGCAGCATCCCGCCGACTTTTGTTCTCTATTGCTAAGTGTACATGAGAACGAGAAGAAAATGCACGAAAACCATTATGGTGTGTTGCCTGATTGTTGAAACGTGTCGCTGCTGGTCGCGATAAGATGGCCAATTAATAAACAAGAACTAATAAAACAACAATAACAATATCAAGAAGCAACATTATACATCTATAACATTATAAGTTAGGAAGGCCAGATTTCCTGTTCGGAACAGCTTTTGTGTTGACGAATCTTATCAACAACGGATGTAATTCATTATCATGTGTGGAACCTTCCACATTACCCCACAGGCACACAACTTCCATTAACTGAGTCTCAGAATCATTTGCCTCGCCCCCCCCCACACACATATCCATCTTAATCTAGTCTGCAGGAATATTTCCCTCGTCAATCACGGCAGAGATTATTTTTAAATCTGCCGATCACGTGACTACGACAGAATGGTTTCAACGAGTGGGGATTTTCGGTCACGTGAATGCGCGTACCTATTTAAGAAGTGACGCAGCGTCGAGGTGCGCTCACGCACCTGCTTGTCGCACTCACGGTGGCGGCGCCTGCTCTGTGGGAATTTGTCTACCTCATATCCGCTCTTGCATCGACATGCCTAGGAGAGGAATTCGCCGGGAGGAGAATAATGGCTTTGTACGTGGTCGTGCTTGTTCTCTTCAGTCTCTTTTGTAGGTTATAGATATATTAGTTAATGTTTTGTTTTACAGTCATTACGTACATTTAGCTACATTCAGTACCGGAAGTTCACCGTCGGTGCGTTGTGCTGAATATACGTGTATAAACGCTATCAGTATAATTTCTGCGTGCACCTCCGTTCATAACATTCCAATTGCGGTCTCTACTCGCCAGTTCTTATATAAGCTCTGTATTTATACACAACCTGGTTAACTTTCGCCACTGAGTATTTACTACCCGTGCATGTTTACTCGTACAATTTTGCCCGCGATACAATGCGTGGTTTATGCTGACTATACAAATTGTCTGTATGCTTATACGCCGCAAGTACTGTAACGAGTGCGTTCTGCCTTCCGAGCAAGATTATCAGCGAGCGGGTGGGTTTTGTGTGAGCGTTGCATCGGCACTACGCGTTTTCTAGCATGATGCCCCACGATGTCGTCACCGGCGGTTGCCAACAGGTGCAGTATGCATGATAATTTAATCTATTCTCTTTTTCAGTCGTATCCAGGCGACGTACGGCACTAGGACATCGACGGTAAGTCCGTACGGCTATCCTTCTGTCGGCTAGTTAGTACGTCGTGCCATAATGTGTACACTTTGGCGAATTTGCGATGGCAAAGGCCGCTGTGATTGTCCGAACATTGACTACCTTGATACTGCGACACTAATGATGCGTACTGGCGCAGTGTTTATCGTGTGATATTACGTGTGGGACTCTTCACCCAGTGCATACTTCGTGCTGAAATTCGGTGAAGTAGTCATAAATTAACAATCGCAGTACATTAAAAAACTGCCTTGCCTTGTGCCTCTGTAAGCGTCATAAGTCGTATCGTTGGTACGTGAGCGGTTACTTGACATTTTCATCTAAGGCGGTGTAATGAGAAATATTAATTCACACCGCTCTGTCGTAGAATTGCCTCATATGCATGCACGCCGGTGTTATCTGCTGCCTTCGTGTTTCGTCAGTGCGTGAACTCTGAGCGGTAATGGCGGAAAGACGGGGTTTTCCATTCGGTCATATTTCCTCGTATTTGCAAAATGTTTGAACAATGTTCAGCGGGATTCGACAAGCCTAAGGGCGCCGCGGGCCTGGGCTAACCGCCGGTGTTAGGTTTTAGTCTATGCTTATGACTAGGGGGTGGTTCTTACATAGTAGAAGTGGCATGTTAAAGTAAGCCGGGAAATACACATCGCGGCAATTGAACAGAGCGGAATAAAATGAGCAGTTTTCCCGCACTGGACTTTCCTGATCGGAACTTGGACATGTAAGCGTTAACCTGCGTTATGCTGCGCGCCATGTGTGTCATCCCCTAATATCGTTACGTTGTTGATTGCGGCGACGTGAGCGCCGTTCGGACACCGCGACTACGCGCACATGTGCATCGTACGCACACAGACATCTATGCCGCGCCGCAGGCTATCGTACAGACCACGCGCACACTCGACCAGACGCCGCGCGCGCACTCGCGAGCCGACACCCTCGCGAGACGAACGCAACGCACACTTCGCGACGAAACGCACGCGACGCAGCATTCACAGACGATACGTCACGCGCTGCACAACTTACAGGCGGCCAAGCGCATGCACGCACGGCCACGGGTCGCCACGACAATCATACACACCATACACACACATTACCATACATACAGACCGACACAGTACCACAACAGCCTACACAGCACAACACATACACATCCCCGACTATTCCGAACACACTACACACAGCAACCCACCCCACGACACCCAGCACATACATCACACACAGCCACACAGTCCGACATATCATTACACAATACACACACACACATACGATCACCACACACCAGTACAC